GTATAAGAGCCCCTGAAGCAGTATGACATAAGGAAGCTGTAGGGAGGACACCTGCGGAAACTCCAGAAATAGGAAACTTTAATCCAATACAGAGAGCTGTTGGCAGGACCTGCTGGCTTCATCAAATGATTTTTAAAGCAGACCAAAGTATAATATAAACACATTCACTGTGACAGTTACATTTCCACTGCATTTATCTGCTGAAATCAGCTAAGTTGGAATTAGCAGAAAAGGACCTGGGTGTGCTGGTCAACAGCTGGCTGAATATGAGCCATCAGTGTGCCCAGGTGGCCAAGGGGGCCCAAAGCATCCTGGCTTGTATCAGAAATAGTGTGGCCAGCAGAAGCAGGGAAGCTATTGTCCCTCTGTACTCAGCACTGATGAGGCTGCACCTTGAATACTGTGTTCAGTTTTGGGCCCCTCACTACAAGAAAGCCATTGAGGTACTGGAGTGTGTCCAAAGAAGAGCAACAAAGCTGGTGAAGGGTCAAGAGGACAAGTCTTATGAGGAGCGGCTGAGGAAACTGGGGTTGTTTAGCCTGGAGGGGAAACATTATCGCTCTCTAAAACTACCTGAAAGGAGGTTGTAGCGAGGTGGGTGTCTGTCTCTTCTCTCAAGTAGCAAGTGATAGGATGAGAAGAAACAGCTTCAAGTTGAGCCAGGGAAGGTTTAGATGGAATATTAGGAAAAATTTCTTCACTGAAAGGGTTGTCAAGCATTGGAACAGGCTGCCCAGGGAAGCGGTTGAGTCACCATCCCTGGAGGTATTTAAAAGATGTGTAGACGTGGCGCTTAGGGACATGGTTTAGTGGTGGACTCGGCAGTGTTAGGTTTGTGGTTGGACTCGATGATCTTAAGGGTCTTTTCCAACCTAAATGATTCTATGTTTCTATGATCTTATTATTCTAAGCCACATTCTCTTGAGGATTCAACAAAATGGAAGCTAACAATAAAAATCCACAAAAATCTGCTACATATTCTCCATCCTCTTTGCCTGCAGAAGTAACAAGTAACAACAGGTCCTTAAGACCTTACCACATATT